GTAGTAGTAGTAGTAGTAGCAAAACCTAGCAAACCCTAAACCCAACAAACCCTGAACCCAAACCCTAAACCCTAAACCTTAACAAACTGTAAACCCCAGCAAACCCTCAACCCCAAGAAACCCTAAACCAAAACAAACCCTCAACCCTAACAAACCCGAAACCCTAACAAACCCTGAACCCTAACAAACCCTAAACCCTAGCAAACCCTAGGCCCTAAACCCTAAACCTTAACAAACCGTAAACCCCAGCAAACCCTCACCCCCAAGAAACCCTAAACCAAAACAAACCCTCAACCCTAACAAACCCGAAACCCTAACAAACCCTAAACCCTGAACCCTAACAAACCCTCAACCCTAACGGGCCCTACTACTACTAAACCCTAAACCCGCGTGAGAAGAAAAAACCCTAAACTCTAAACTGCCTGGGAGGAAAAAACCGAAAACCCGAAATCCAAAGCAGTCAGCCCCTAAACTCAACCCTGACCCCGAGATTTGATCTGCCCTCGGAGCACCGTTTGAACAACGACTCTAGATTGATCGGTTGCAAGCCTCATGAAACACCACAACTTTATTGCAAAGCTCCACTTATCGAGCCGTGCAAGGATAGCGGAAGGCAAGACCCCGAAGCATGCATATTTACCAATGAATCCTGCAACATGCACAACCAGGGATACCCGATAAGGAGTAGGACCCAAGCTCTTGCTGCTAAGCGAGGATCTGATAAGGCTGGATCTTGTTGGTGCAGCGGCGGCCGATCCATTGATGACTCCATGCAGCAATCCTGTTGGGGTGGCCGGGTCTCGGGTTGAGGATTCAATCTGTCGGGGGGCTTGAATTTGTGCTTTGATCAGTATTATGCAGCAACGATCCTTTCGGGTTTCCTTTCGGGGTTCACTAGCCCGGGGCAAAGCCCTTGTATGCAGATGGAAAGGGATTTAGGGTCTAGGGGTTTAGGGCTTTTGGTGAGGGTGTTGGAAAGATCAGAGGGTTCGGCCTGCCTTGTCCAGCCAGGTCATTGCCCGAAGGCAACCATAGCCGGTGGAGGATGTTCTGATTAGAACGACATCATGTAATAATAGTGAAGGTACATGATGTTGTGCTGGAGTCTATGATATGTGGATGCCAGAGATCCCAAAGACTGCAGTACGTAATAATATACTGGAGGCCCAGAATCGCACAGATGCCGCATATAGCCGGCCGGCAGCTGCTTCAGGAACGGCGTGTGTATGGTTCAGGGTTTAAGCGTTGGGGGTCAGTTGAGGGTTCATGAAATATCAGGGATTTAGGATTTACGGTTATATGTTATTGAATATGTGAATATATAATAAGGGGACTAGGGATGAGGTTCGCCGGGAGCGGAAGGCTTGGGAACTGGCCACATCTATTCACTCTTGCAGAGTAATAATTGCAAGTGCTATAACTATACTATTATTCTTCCGACTACTTCTACTACTACATAATACTCCCAAAGGGTCCAAGTAATAGTATAGTATCTACTTTTGGGGCCCAAATACCTACTAAGTACCTACTATAATGGTACTTGGACCCTTTGGGACTACTACACCATCCAACCTAAACCCCTAAACCCTAAACCCCTGCTATCTTCCTCAACCCACAACACCTCGCAGCACTCATACCCAAGGTCCCGACTCTATGATTGAAATTCCTAAATCCTCAGCTATGTTTGCAAACCTCAGAGCAGCACGACATTTCGAGGCCCTTGTCCCTAGCATGAAGTCCGGTCCCTGCACCCAAGGTGATCACAACAATGCCGAGCCTGATTCCTGGTGTACACTTTGATCGCTTCAATTGGTTGAGACTGGG